AGATTGCTGCTTTGGTATTACCTTCATTTTTATTCATATAAGCACGAATACAATAGAATGACATTTTTCAGACAACTTTATTCTATCAAATTGAGATTATACGGATCAACAACACACTTTGAGGAGCTAAACATAGTATGTGGTAAAACCAGATTTATTTGAATGCAAAATCAGGTATATGATTCATCATCTGGAGTTCTGGACTATGGGGATTTTGCACCTATTGCCTCATGTTGTACTGCTTGGTATGGATTGAATAGCTGCAAGAGGGTTCACTTGGTATGAAAACGCAAGCTTCCAGAAATCTACAATTGCTTTTTTCGTGGACTCCATTTGTCTGCGAATGAACCTGAAACACGTAACAAACGCCACACCAAAACACAATGTATTTATTAACCACATAAACTTCGGATCATCCAAGCATACCGGTCTCAGAATCAGGCTTAGAAGAATTCTTACCGTATGAAAGCAGCTCGTTTTCTCTTCAAAGCATAACATATGATTAATCCAACAAGGCTTATGGCAACCTTCCCTTTGGAAATGCTATATTGGGTATTACCAAGCTTAAGGCTTAGAGGATGTGATGACCAAAGTGACGACGGCTCATGTTGTTTGGAGAGTTTCAGGACGGAATCAATCTTTTCATTAGCCAGAGACTTGTTCTTATTTACTAAAGCATAAGAAGAATCCTTGGAATCTTCCTCAAAAGAACTAGCCTCTGGAATGTTTGCTGTTTTGAGAGAAAGTAAAGAATGTAATCTTCTCAAAAGCCCCTGAAACAGAGAATTTGATCTAGCATCTTAGTAGGAACAGACTCACAAGTTCATACACAACTCATGAAAAGATTCAATAGTACCTGTCGTCTTTCTTCAGGCAATGCAGCTTTCTCAACCCATGAAATGGCTAGGCCCATATCACTTGAAACTTTTGCAAGAACTCCAAAGGTATACAGCTCCACAAATTCCATGTGCTCATCAATATCCAACTGTATTTTCCCATGAAATCCTTTTGCACTTAATCCAACATCATTAAGGATATAGTGGTTGTCCTGGTAAACCCATATACTAAAGAACTCTTCCAGTATCTCACGTGCACCCGAGTAGGAACCAGTTGATATCTGAAGACATATTCTAAACGGGAAAAAGAGAGAGAGTAGATCAATCAAAATAGATATCTACAATCCTGTTGTGTGACTTCTGTATATGCAGTATTGTACTTCCCCTAATAAGTAAAAGTAAGCAAGTGTTGCGACCTCTCCAGTATTTTGTTCGATTCTTTTCTCTCGCTCACACCTTTGGTAATAACTTGTCATTACTTACTCCTAGTTATGAAACCGAAATGAACCAAATATCCTCTTTCTTCAAGCATATAAAGGTGTAAAACTGTCA